CCAATGACCGCTGCTCTTTCTGCCAAGCTATGCATTGCTGCGTTACAACCTCGATTGCTCACCAGCTCATGTGAAAACTCAGACAACTCTGGTGCCGCTCGAGCGCGCGGCCTCCAGCGCCAGTCGAGAGCGCTCGTTGCGCAGCGGGCGCTCCACCATGCGCTCGCCCAGCCTACGCAGCTCAATGTTTTCAGACGTGGATAATGACCTTGATACCTCCTTCAATACAAAGTAAAACAAATACCTCCCCATGCCCACCGCCGCCTCGACCCCCCCCCGTTTACACGCAAACATCACACTCATTCTGGCTCTTCACAAATCTGAAATCCCGGCGACAGGATCGAGCTAAAGGAGGCGCCACTTGATTACAATGCCATGCTGGATCCCCACCTTCGGCGCCTGCACCGGTCCGTTTTTGAGCTACCCTGGCAAATTACCCGGGCGTCTTGTCAATGCTTTGACCGTGCGCTCTGATGACGTGGTATGGTTTCTGTCGATGCGTGTCCTCCCAGGCGCCGCTCTTATCAGCAAACCCTCAAGGCCAACGGGCTCGCCACCAGCGACGGCCACGTCCTCATGACAACTGATGAGGTAAAACACGAGCCACATGCACCCTCTTGCCAGGCAGGGCCACCACGCCCAAGCCCCACCACTCACCCTTACATGGTGCATGCTAGCTCAAACTGAAAAACTTTCAACGGTCAACGCTAAGCCGTATCCCAGATAATGAAGATCAACGCATGGAGCTCATGCGCCGGGAGAGGGTGAGTGCAGTCACCTGTCCAACCCTCAAGCCGCGGCAGTTTCCCATCGTGTCATGCCATGTGCTGTTGGTCGCATACAACCTGATAATGGTCTTTTGGTCATCATCCCAGGAGCTGGCCGAGAAGAAGCGCCAGCAAGTCATGCAGTTGGTCAAGAAAAAACGAGAAAAGGAAGCCAAGGCGCGCTCGGCCATGATCGAAAAGGCCAGTCTCCGTCCATGTCCTTCCTCCCATGAAACCAGGGCGTCGATTCATGTGCCGCGCGGCCATCAACCAACTCAACTGCCGCAGTTCTCACCTTGCTGCCGCTGTTGATCTACGACAAACTCACAGGTCATGAGGCGGCGAAGCTCGGTCAAGGAAACCCCGCCCTCAGAGCGTGAGATCAGATTTTTGGAGGAACAGCGTGAGCGCGTGGAGGCGCGCAAGGACCTCGACGAACTCCGCGCACAAGAGTATGAGGCCCGCCGCATCTTTGAAGAGGCCATCAAGGAGAAGCGCCTGCGAGAAGAGGATGCGCAGATGAAAGCGGCCCTCGAACATAAGCGACAGGAGGAAGAGGCACAGCTACAGGCCGTGTCCGAAGCCATTGTTGAACGAAAGGCACGCACCCAATCTCTTCGTGAACAGATTGAGGAGAATCAGCGCCGGCGTCAAGAGCAGTGCATTGCCGAAGCCAAACACGACCGCGAAGTGCTCGAGAATGCCACCCGTGAGCGCTTGGCCGAACAAGAAGCCGCCAACCGCCGCCGTGCAGAGCTTCGGGAACAGGAACTCGCAGCGCGTGCCGCTGCCGAGGAGCGGCGTCTTGCCACGCGCAAGAGCGCCGAGCAGCGGCAGCGTGAAATTGAACGCCAACGACGCGCGGCGCATCGCCAAGAACGCATTGCTGCCGAGCGAGAGCGTAAAGCGCGTGAGATTGAGGAGAAGAAACGCCGCCAAGCCGCCAAGGCTGAATACGAGGCCCACCAAGCTGCCATCCGTCAGCAACACAAGGCCCAGGTCCGACCTCGTCTTGCAGCCGTTTTTTTTTTGACAGTTTCCCACGTTGGCCTGGATACCCTTGCTCACTTGCATGTTCACTCGCTTGTCTTGCATCCCAATACCAGGCGGAAGAGGAGCGGCAACGACGCGAAGAACTCATGCTCAAGCGCGAGGCCGCACAAAAGGCTGAGGTGGCCGAGAAACGGGCGCGGGCCGCAGAGGAACGCGAAATGCGCGAGCGACGAAAGCAGGAGCTTCAAGAGGAGCGACAGCGACAGCTAGAATTGGAGCTGGAGGAAGAGCGGCAAATGCTCGAGCAGATGCGCGTGGCGCAACAAAAGGCCGTCGAGGAAGAAAAGGAGAAGTTGCGCAAAATTGCCGAAATCGAGGAGCAGGCGCGCCAGCGTGCTGAGGTCCAGGCACGCAAGGTGGCTGCTCAAAAAGCCGCCGAGGCCCGTCGCCAGGCTGAGCGTGAAGCCAAGGCCAAGGAATTGGCTGCCAAGCGGTTGGCCAAGGAGAAGGAGCGTAAGCAACAAGCCAAAAAGGCAGCCTTTGAAAAACAAAAGGCTGAAACTGCGCGCCGTATCGCATATCTCAAAAAGTATGGTACTTGATGCGTAGCGTCACGTGCTGCAGCTCTTTCACCTCTGAGCTGGGATTTTAATAACATGTTACTGCCCCCACATTTCTTCCTTCTCCCGCTCCTTTCTTGCCTTTCGGGCCTGTGGCTCGCCCTCTTCCTGATTTTGAATCATACACCACCCTTGTCTCTTTTTTTTTTACGGTTTGAGGAACCTTGAATGTTTAAATCTAATTCATCCGGTGACACACATCAAAGGGGAAAGGCAGAGAGAAGAGAAGAGAAGAGAAGAGAAGAGAAGAGAAGAGAAGAGAAGAGAAGAGAAGAGAAGAGAAGAGAAGAGAAGAGAAGAGAAGAGAAGAGAAGAGAAGAGAAAAGAGAGAGAGAGAGAGCGAGAGAGAGAGAGAGAGAGAGAGAGAGAGAGAGAGAGAGAGAGAGAGAGAGAGAGAGAGCAACAAGAACAGACAACAGCCAGCAGTCACCGCTACAAGGAAGGCGCCGCCTTCAAAGCTTGACATGCCATTTAATACAAGCAACACACAAGTGATTGTGCCACATACAGAATATCATGAACAAAAACTTCTCAACTCAGCAAAGGGGGGACATATTCATGCACACACTCATTGACTCACAGCAACATTTTTTTGTCTACGATTCGGGCACAATGTCGGCAGGCGGGTGATGAATGGGTGCCATGTTGACCATGGCATCCGTGTCCGAACCCGCGCCCGAATCCTCGTGCATGTGCGCAAACATGGAACCCATAGCAAAGCAAAGGCTTGCCACCATGGCGGTCGGATCAGCCTATTTCCATTCGGCACAACATGTGTCTGCATGAGTCACTGCAAAAGTAGTAGTACCACACAATCTTTGCGTGCCGTTGAAGCAAAAACTTACCGCCGTTGTAATTGTCGATTGCAGTTGCTCAAGGAGGGAGTTGGGAACTTCAGCGGGGGCGGGAAGACGACGAGGAAGCACATCCGTCAAAAGCCGGCTCAGACCCTGCAGGGTGATTGGCGGTGGTTGAGCGTGCATCAATTCCTTTTCCAAATCCTGGGGGCGTGGGCGCTTGGCACTCGGTTCGCCATTGTCATCTGTATTGTCATCGGCTGCCACATGCTCTGGAACCTCTGCATGGACTATTTGCGACGCTACGACTGAAAGTTCATTGTCGGTCGTAATCAGCGCGCTTCGCAGCGAGTCCAGCGTGGAGAGAACGGCCGAAACGTATTCTTCGTCTCCCAGCATCTGCCAGATGGGCATGGTCATGAGAACGTCCGTCTGACGTAGAAGCAGCTGCAAGCAGCGAAGCCGTGATTCAAAGCTGGCGCCTTGCTGCAGGTCTTGCATGGAGTAGGCCACCAGGTTGCAGATAACCTGGGTCCGGTAACATGGCACGCAGGTGATTAAGAATAAGTTTGTTGGAGTGCACAAGGGCGGGCTGTCTGGCTGAAATGCTGGTGCAGCACGCCGGGATCGGCCAGCTCGCAAGCAAAACAGGCCGGCGGCTTTCGCACCGGAATTTTGTCCTTGTGAGGGTCGACGAGCTGGAGCAGTTTCTCAAGCAGCTTGATGGGGTTGCTTAAGATGGCTTCCTCTGCACTTGTGGGCCGTCGCCGACCCAAGACCTGCGTGGCAGCAGTCGTGCATGTGCATGCATGCGTGAGGGTAAGATTAAGAAGTGCGGCTTTCAAAGCGCAGGCCTCACAACACCTCACACCCATCGTGTCTGCCAACCATTTGAAAGCAACGCTGCATGAATTGCATGTAAAATACCAACCATAGCCATGGGCGACATCATCTCGTGGGACAGTGCCATTTGCATGGGCGGCAAGCTAGCATTGCCTGCCATAATCAAGCACCAGGGTTCGCGGGCACAAACATGCACGGCGTGAGGCAAGAGAGGAAGGTCCGAAACACGCGTCCAAAAGGGTTTCAAGAGGTCGGCGCGCTCAGTCATCGTACCTGGCCCCATGACGTATGGTGCGGGCGGGTAGGGCATGGGAGCGTTGGTGTTGAGATATTGTGAGGCCATGACGGGTGCACCACTGGTGTCAAGGGACGCGAGGGCTTGTGGTTGGGGCTGACTGCTGCGGCGACGAGACGAGCTGGATTGGCGTGGCAGGTTGCGGGAGCGTGGTGGTAATGGGGTGTTTGTGTAGAGCGTGGGGTGTTCCTGCATGGTCGCTCCATAAGCCGGTGGATTCATGTACGAGGTCGCCATCACGGTGGAGGAACTGGGCAGAGGGATGCCCATGGCCGTGGCATTGGGCTGAGCCAGTGGCGGCACAGCATGAGACAGGGAGGTCGATGGAGCAGGCGCATCAGACCCCGTGCCTCCTGGCGCATCCACATGCGCGGCTGGCCCAACAGCACCATGTGCAGGTTGTGACTGCAGGGGTGCCTGTGAGGGAACGCTGCTGTTAGCAGCATTCTCATCCAAGCTGTCACCCTGTTGCAGCATGACTTGGGTCGGCGCTTGTGGTTCCAAACTGGAACCATGTTCATCGTCTGCGCAGCATGCCCCAGCAAGCAAATGATCAGTATCGACATGGCTGGAGGCTGGCGCTTCTAAGGGGGTGTACGGGGCACCTACTTGGGTCCCTGTCCACATCTGGGCCTGATTCACCATCGGCCGGCTGCGCATGATCTTCGTTCAGCGGCAGCGGGGCTGGTTCGCCGTGGGCAGGCGCGCGGGAGCGATCCATGCCCGAGACATCTGCAGCGGCGTGTAAACCACCAGTGCTGGGTGTGACAAGAGCAACGCGGGGATCAACGGCGCGAAGCGACACGGGTTTGGATGTGCCACGGTGGCGTGCGCTTCCGGGCGCGCTGGCGTTGGGCGACATGCTTTGCTGCTAAGGAGTGGATGGCGAGACTAAAGATGAGAACAGGTGCTGTCCCAAATTGGCGAGCCGGGCTGCGAGAAGAGATGGGTGATGCGAACCCCACCTACCATGGGTGAGTTGGCCAGATTCGGTGCTGTTACATGCGCTGGTACGTGACCGAGAGGTGCACTTGGGGACATGCTGGTGCCCGGGGCTACAGGCGGAACGCGGCGAACGCGCAGACCCTTGTCTTTTTCGTTGCCAGGGCGATACTCGGCATGTAGGCCCACCTTGTTGAGCGCCAGGTTGATGCGGTTCATTTTTACGGCAAACTGTGGTGAATCAGCCAGGCTCGACTTGACGCGGCGGTTGGTACCACAGCCAATGATTGGGCTGATAATTCGAGAAGCCTCATCGGGCTCGCGCAGGCGTGAAAGGATGGGGTGGGAAAGGCATTGGGACAAGAACATGGCAGCTGGGCCCTCGGGCTACAGACAGCGGGGTGGTGTCGGTGTCGGTGTCGGTGTCGGTCAATGAGATCATCTGTGCGCGGGTAGCTCAGGCTGGGGAGGGAAGCTTGAGGCAGGCAGCAGTCACCCGCATTTGACGTACCGCAATGTCGGACCATTGGGAAAGGGCAACGAGAAACTTTTTGACCAGGTCGCGCGAGTCTTTGCAGACGCGAAAGCGAGTATCAATGCGCTGCGCCAGGTTGGGCTGCAGCTGTTGCTCAAAGTACAGTGGCAGATAGAACACCAGCTACAGCGTCAGGGTCCAGTTTGAGGTAGCAAAGAGAGAGGTACCGGGCCAGGTGATCAACGTGAGAGCATGCCAATCAGGGGGCCACACTTGACCTTTCCTGTCAGCTCATACGCCGGGCGAACAACACCTACGCTTTGGCCGGGCTCGCGGAAGACCAGCGTGTCCAGGGGCAGCTCTTCCAGTTGGGCCCCAAAGGGTTCCACAAGGTGCAGGTCGATGTAGTCGTTGCCGAAGGGTCCCGTGGGGATCTTGAGCTTACTGATACCCGAGTGCGGACCTGGCGCAGCAATCAAAGGGCCACCGATGACAAGCAGGATCAGCAACCGGTTGGGCCAAAGTACAGGAGCGCAGCAAAGGCCGGAGCAGCAAGATGTTACGCACGGGCCACGCCGGTCGCAACGGTCCATGTGGCCAGGCCCGGGTAGTGGGCCGGGGTGACGACCGTGGGCATGTCGCGGTTGGCGGTGGCTGTGGTCCGGGCAGCCGGAAATGACATGGTGCACATGTGGATCGATCCATGAGTTTGGCGGCGGCGCACAAACCGCCGGGTGCATGCATGCCACCAACGGTGGGAAAGGCGTTTGGTGGCAGCGCCGGGAGGAGGAGCTGATCGTGTAACGGTCAGGAGCCGGCCCAAGGATTCTGCGTCCGGCAAGAAAGACATGCACGGGCAGCGTCCTGCAAATCGCCGTCCATGCCGCCTTCCCCCTCCACCCCCCAGGGGGGGAGATCAAGATCAAATCGCAAATGGCGTACCGCGCTTTCACGAATAGAGTCCGCAGATTTCAAAGTCCGTTTGCCCGCCAGCTTCGCTTCTCTTCCAAGAACTCGCTGAAGGGCAGCGTGCTGGCGAGCCGGCGCTTGACAGCAAATGCCGAGCAAGACAGAGACACACAGAGAGAGAGAAAGAGAGAGAGAGAGAAAGGAGAGAATACTGCGAATTTTGAATAATTAAAGCGATGATTTATGGGCAAAAGTTGATATGAATTAAAGGTCTGTCAATGTCCGCCGTCATTCAAAACTGACATGTCAGGCAGTTTCTGATTTGCCCTTGCTATGCATGCACACACGGGCCAACAGGGCGCGGGACCGGCAGGAACGTGCTACGGTGACAGGCTACAAGTCACACTGGAAGGAAAGAGGGAGGAAGACAGAGACAGACAGAGACAGACAGAGACAGGCAGAAGCGAAAAAGGCTGCGAAAGCCAACAAGACCTGAGGAACACAAAAAAAATAGCACGTGGTTCTTGGCAGAATAAAACCCTCTCACGCCGTTGGCTCGCCTGCGCTTGTGTCCTCTGCCTCATTGCCCGGAGTAAAGTCGGGCTGGAAGCTGCGGTAATCGGGACGAGTCGTGAAAAGGTTGATGCTCGAAAGATCACTCGCCTGGTACTCGATGGGCTCTCCCTTCTCGGCCGCCGCTAAATGCTCCGCCCACAGCTCTGCGGCAGGACCAATCATGAAGAAATCAAATCAGTCAAGGCGCCATCCACGCCTGCCCTCGTTCTTAGCCAGCTAAAACCCACATCCACAAGCAAGCAAGACTAAAGTCACGACCTTACCTTCGGTGCGGGCCTTGTCCGTCTTCAACTTTGGATCAGTTTCGAATCGCGTCTCGAGGAAACGCTTCAACGTTTCCCAGCCGCCACCAACTCGAACCATCACGTTCTATCAATGGGCCGATGATGAGCGGGCAGCACGGCTGACATGACTCCGATACTGTTTCCATGTTCTAGCGGTCACGCCCAGCTCCCAAATCCATCTCAAAAGACAGCTCGTACCTTCTCCGTGATGCGCAAAAGCACGGGCTTGCTTGCTTCGTCACCAAATACATACTTGCCCTCTGCCACACGATGCACCTGGCGTACCGCACAGCTCGCCTGAGTTGGAAAAAGAAAGTTGACATGCTTGCACATCGCTGCTGCAGACTCCATTCACAACGCACCTTGTATGGCGGCTGATTGATGCAAGCATTGACCACCTTGTAGACCGCGGCATCCAGCTTATCCCCCTTGATTGGTCTACAGGCCCAAACCCCAAGTGGTGGATTAGATAAAACACAGCTGCCTATCCATCAAATCCTTGCAGCGGGTGTCGCCATGGTACAAACCGCTGGCGCTTGAGAAAGCGGATCCGTTCGATCCACACAAGGCGAGGCACGCGAATGCCTCGTGTGCGTCGCGCAACGTCGTACAGGCTCCAAATGAATCGGCGCTCATCACGCAGCTACACCCACCCACCCGAGGTGTGATCAGACGGAAAGCATGAGCAAAGCGTCATCCATTGCGCAGGAGCAGCCGAGTCCATTCATGACTGTACCTCGGTCAGATCTTCCAACTCAAACACGTCTGGGTTCTCCAATCCCAAGGAACGGGCCCACTCAATAAAGTTGTTGATGTTACTGTGGGCTTTGTCCGTGCCTGGCCATTGGCGAGAGAATGAGTCGCGAAAGCGCACGCGTCAATGGATTGGATGCACCCTCGATCCCGGAACCGCACAGCTGGCTTACCCGAACGCGCGATCGGCTCGTAACGGCAGTACTGCAAGGGGCGCGTGCGAATAAACTCGGCCAAACCCTCTTCGTTGGCTGAGATGGAAAAAGGACGACCAAAGGAAGATCAAATCAGAGAAAGCGGTACTGAGCAACCCAGCAAGACTGAAAATCGAACATCCGACTCGAGGAAGCAGCAAGCGAGTAAGGCAATGACATTACCAGGAGTGTCAAACTTGAACAGCTCGAGGCGACGACGGTTGATACGGACGGGATCGTGCGCCGATGGCAGACGCGTGCGAATGCCCTGCAGAGCTGGCGCCTCAGGTCGAGGCACTGTGGCCCGCAAAGAGCACACCGAGAAAGCAGTGCGTGAGCACGCAAACTTGGTACCAAAAGCCGGATAGCAACTACACCACGGCCCACCAAAACACACACACACACACACACACACAAAGGAGGAAAAAAAAAAAAAAACAGAAACAGAAACAGAAACAGAACCAGAACCAAAAGCAAACAGAACAAGGACAATCTGAATTGAAGCGTCGAGCAATATCATACCGGCAGCAGCACCGTTGGGGGCTGTGATGGTCGAGCGTGACTTGCTCTTGGGTGGGCCCGAGGCTATTGGCACAAAACAAGTGGGGTGCATCAAGAAGGTTAAGCTCACCAACGTCAGGCGCAGCCAGCTGACAATTGGATTCCTGCCCTGCATCACCGCTTTGCGCCAGTAAACGTACGTCGGCGTGCCGCAGGCGGTGCCCGCAGGCTACCAGATGAAGCCCTGCTCGTTGGGGGCTTGATGGAGGAACCCCTGGCCGTGTTCCCCTTGGCACCTGTATCTTTGGCTGTTCGACGCATGTCCGGCACCGTGAGCACGATACAAGATCATCACGGCCTGAGCGCCTTGCTCTATAACGCGCATGGTGGATGCTGCATGCATACATACATGTTGCAGCAGTCTCGGCAGCTTGGGCTGCCTCTTCTGCGCGTAGTTGCGCCTCGTCACCATCAATGGCGTTGGCCAATTCGGCCAACAGGACGCCGTTCTGCATCTTCAATAGAAACGTGTTTTGTTGCAGGTTCGTGCCTAGCATCTCATTGACCCAGTCGCAGATATCCTCGCTATGTATCGTCAATCCACTCATGTGAGGTAGGTTACAGCCACAACTCGAGGCCAAGTGGGCACACCGCATGAAACATCAGGTCGCATGCCGATTCTCGCACCGGTAATGCGTCATCTGGCGATGCATGTTCATCTTCACTTCGTCCGTACGCAGGGCTTCCAAAGCCGCCTGTAAAACAAAGTGTACAGCAAAGTCATTCAACATGACCCAAATCGTCACAAGTTCCAAAGCAGCGCAAGCATGCCTGGTGCGAACGCTCTTCAGCCTCAGCTTGCAGGCGAGCCTCCTATGGCACAAACCACGTGGCCAGCGCATGTCAGACTGCGTCGGACACCCGCGACGCCACGGCTTGGACGCGCCACATACCTCCTCTTCGGCCTCGAGACGCTTGCGCTCCGCCTGCAGCATCCCACCCCAGGATGTGATATTTGAGCAATGCGCGATAGCAAAAAAAAAAAAAAAAAAAAAAAAAAAAAAAAAAAAAAAAAAAAAAAAAAAAAAAGTGGGTGGGAGCAAGATTTCATCCTTTTGAGCACTCACTTCTTCTTCGGCCTCACGACGCAAGCGCTCTTCCTGCACCCCGTACCGTTACCCCGTCAAAATAATGAGCAATTCGCCGGCAAGAAAAACGGTAGCAAGGGGCTTGACTGATTTGCTGCGCTAGGCTACAGGCGCTGAAACAAGGGCCAGGAACTGCGCTAGGACACCTCACCTCTTCTGCTGCTTCACGGCGCTTGCGTTCCTCCTACGCAGAGCAGACGAACGCGATCAGTGATGAAGCGACGAGTTTATCCTGCCTGTAACAGTCGCAATGGCGTGGGACGCACCTCCTCGGCAGCTAAGCGCGCTGCCGCGGCTTCGGCGGCCAAACGCGCTGCTTCCTGCAACCGGGCAACAGAAATAGACGAGTTACTACCGTGCGGTCTTTGCTGACAGAAGCGCGCCAGGGTACACCCACCTCTTCTGCCGCCAATCGAGCGGCCTCCTTCTCCGCCAATTCCCGAGCTCGATCCTAGATGGATCAAGGGGGCGCGAGCGTGTGCAAGTGAGAACCGAATTTCCAAACAATTACATTGGCCCATCATAGCACATGCGCGCATGCACATACCGCTGCCAACTTGGCCTGCTCTTGCTGAGCAGCCGCTGTATGAGACCAAGGAGAAAAATAACACAACGATGGATCAACAGATACGTATGAAACACTACTACAAGCATAATCTCTGCGCACATACCTTCTTCGGCGCGTTTGCGAGCCTCTTCCTCGGCCTGAACAAACAAGGGGGGCAGGTATGATCAGAAAAGGGCGTGGATCGGGGGTGAGAGGCACAAATTGAACGACAATCGGAGCACATACGCACCTGCTGGCGAGCTGCTTCAGCCTCGGCGCGCTGACGAGCAAGGTCCTCAGCCTCACGCTCCTTATCACTGTGTAACAATGAATGATCGAGTCCCAAGTGATATGAGACTTGTAGACATGGAAAAGAGGGGTAAAGTGCACAGCACGGCACACGTACGCCAAATTGCCAGTGAGCTCATCCAGGCGGAATTGCAGCTCCTCGTTCAGAGCCCTAGTGAAGAGGAAAAAAAAAAAAAAAAAAACCAAGACCGTGAATGCAATTTCCTCAACAAGCTGCTGCTTCAACGACGGAGATGCAGTTGAGAGGGCCTGGGCAGATCGTGTTGTGGCACTGCCACGAAACGTACGTGGCGGCCGTCAGCTCGCCCTCCCGCTGAGACAGAATATCCTCCAGCTCAGAAATGCGTGCTAGAAAAACAACACCAGGCAAGAGCAGCCAAATCAGAGTGGCATTGACAAGGGTGCGAGGGCGCAAGCGTAACCCTCAAACGCAGTTGCCAGAGTTTGGAGCGCACCCTTTAAGCGCTCAATTTCGGCGTCCTTGTCAGCCAACTGCTCCTTGAGTTGGGCGCACTCCGTCTGCAGCAGCCCCGGCATCGATGAAGAGAGATGGTCGAGAGACAGGGGCAGGTTAAGGTTTGGAAACCATTGAAGCGTCAATCAGGAGCACAAAAACCACAAACCTCAAGCGCGGAAAGACGCTCGGCCAGATCATCTCGCTCCTGCAAAGCCTTGTCGCGTTCTTGGCGCAACGCATCCTTTTCTTCCTTGCACTTTTGCTTGTTGTCCTCGTTTTGCTGACGCAATTGGTCAAGTTCAGATTGCAGTTCCTCAGCCTTGGCACGCTCTTCATCCCGCTCCTTGCGCAGACGCGCCGATTCTTCCGAGTCTTCAGCCAACTTTGAGTCCATGTCTTTCTTGAGTGCGGCCAACTCTTGCTCCAAACCATCTCGCTGCTTGCGCTCTTCAGCCAGCTCGTTGTCGCGGGTCGCAAGCAGCGCCTAAGAGGCATGGGAAAAAAACAAAAATGACCACACACACACAAAAATAAAAATAAAAATAAAATCGAATCCAAAGGAACCAAAAGAACCTGTCTCTCGCAAGAGGACGAAGCATGACGCAGAAAAAAACACCAGACCAACCTGCAACTCGGCCAACTGCTTGGCGAGGTCGGAGTTTGCCGATTTCTCACGATCTGCTGAAGCCTCTTGCTCAGCCTATGATGAATGCATATCGTCAATATACGCACGTAAACATCGCCGAGTTTTGTTTTCTATTGCTTTCGCTTCTATTTGGGCCGCATCGCAGCATTCACGTTGCAAAAAACCTAGACTGACCTGGAGGCGGGCCAGCTTCTCGTTGGCTTCGCGCTCGGCAGCTGCTGAGGCTTCGCAATCCGCCTCCGCGCTCTGCAACTGTTTGGTAAGCTCTGCCAGCTGAGCTTCGAGCTGGGCATTGCGTTGAACCAGATTATGGTTTTAAGCAACATGAGTCAAGGCAGCAAGGATGAGACACCAATAAAGGGACGAAAAGAAAAGAATAGAATAGGAAAGGAAAAAAAAAAAAAGAACGTTGCAAACCTCGTTGGCCTTTTGCGTCTCGGATGCATTCTTGGCATTTTCGCTTTCCAAGGCCTGTCCAGAGTCATGAAGAGAAGATGAGATGAGAGAGAGGAAAAAAAAAAAAAAATAAAAAAAAAAAAAAAACAGCGTCGAGAGCAGCAAAGCCCAGGCCATGCTGGCACTGTTGGGAAACGCACGGCCAGCTTGGCGCGCAGCTCATCCAGCTCGCTGCGCAACTTTGACTTGTCGCGGATGAGACCATCCATGGTTGCTTGCATCTTCTTGTGCTCAGCCTCCAACTCTTGGCTCTGTTGCAGCGCGCACGCGTGTCAAAGGTAAGACTAGAAGGCACTTGGCTGACAATGTGCAACTCGGGCAAATGACACGGGGAATGCAACACTGACTCGCTCTTCAAAGGGCTCAAGTCGGCTGATTTCCTTGTCTTGATCGCCCAGTCGTTGCTCTACACATATCAAGTCCATAAGCTGCGGTGGGCTCAGAGACAGGCGTGGGGGCAAAGGCACGCACCTGCATTGCGGAGACGACGGCGCAACAACTCTAGCTCCTCGGCCTATGGCATCATGACAGTGGTCAAAGCAGATGAGGCAAGTTCGATACAAGCGATTCCTCGTGCCAATCGTGGTGATATGGCTGTGAATCACAGGCGTACGTCTTTGGCATGTTCTCGCAGGTCCGCGACGGCTTGTCGTTCGTCCTCTATGAGTTGGTCGGAGCATGAGCGCGAGACTTGTTGAACCTAGCAGACACTTGTAAAAAAAGGTGTTGTTGACAAACCCAGCTCAGCCTCGCGAGTTTGAAGCAGGGCCTCAGCCGCCTGCAGGCGAGCCTGGCAAGTGCGGAGCTCATCGTTGGCTGCTTCTAGATCATGTTGTGCATCGTCCTTGTCTGCAATGCATGACGGGGTGGACCAGCGTGAGAAAGCACGTGTGGAGGCATGCCCCTGGCTTTTTTCTTGACATGAACCCAGTCTCTTTCTGCAGTGCAAGATCCAATGCAAAAACCAAAAAAAAACCAAAAAAAAAAAAAAAAACCAAAGAAAACCCCCAGAAAAACCCCCAGAAAAAAAATAAATAAAACACCCCCATGCCGTACCGCGAGCAAGGGTAGCCTCGGACATTTCCAGAGTTTTGAGACGGTTTGACATTTGTTTCTGTTGCAGCACCAGCCAGATCGCATCAATCGTCGGCGCGACCCATCATCGGTTGGCTCAGCCCATACATGGATACGAGAACGTACGATTTCAGCGCCGTGTTGAGAGCGTGCGTCTTTCAATGCCCGACCTGCACATCCGTGTCAAATAGTAGACGAGATGGATGCGCCATTGACAGATATGAGGCGTGATTATGGTGTAAATAAACTGAGCGAGACTAATTCACTTACGCTGCTCCTCTTCCAAGTCCTGGCGCTGCTCCATGAGGAGCCGCTCGTGCTCAGCGCGTGTGATGCTGCAAATGCGGTGATTGTAGCGAGGGTGAGCCAACAACGAGGTTGGGTCTAAATAAAGCACCCGGGATACTAAATTGCGGCCAAGTTTTGAACGCCACAACGAACCCGCCCTGCTTCACTTGTTGCTCACGCTCGAGGCGCGCCAGCATCATTTTGAGACGGTCAAGTTCTTCGCGAAGCTCGTTGTTTCTGCCAAACACGGTCAAGGTCAGATGTAGCTTGTGTTGAAAGAGTGAGAGCACGCTGAACGCAGATTTGAACGTACTCGGTCGACGTATCTTCAAGGACCCCACGCACACGGTTCAGCTCCTTCTCCAAACGTTCAACAGAATTGCTAGCCTCGCCATAATCCAGATTGTTGCGCGTTGCGCTAGCGCGAGCGGCATCCAACTACATAGAGGGAAGAAAACGAGATACTTGCATCAATAAACGCAGACAAGGCTGGTGAAATTGCACAGCAAACGTGGCGCTCACCTCGGCCGTTCGGTCAGCCAGCATTTTTTCAAGCTCGGCAATACGACGGCGCAGGTTTCGGATTGTTGCGTCTAGTTTCGCACCCGACATGAAGGTCAGCGAAACAAACCTGCCCAGGCCAGACGTCAAGTTGCTGAGCGAGAACTACCTTCATTGATCGTGCCCAGCTCTGTAGATTGCACGGAGCGCTCTCGACGGTCCGTACGCAAATCCGGAGAACTTCCTCCCGGAGCCGAGACTGTCTTGACCACAAGGGAAGGATTCTGCGTACAATTAAAACATTGTTGACGAAAATAAGCGTCATCGAGGCGAGAAAGGCAGTGGGTACAAAAAGGTGTATTTGCAAAAGAGTGGCGCTGCACTTACATCAAGTACGTGAGGTAGGCTATCCCACTCGCGGCCAACGCGCACCACAACGGCCTAAGAATATGAAAAAGAAAACGAAGAGCGTGAGGTTGAGATTGACGCGCCATTCATGGTCGGCACTTTGAAAAACAACGCCAGGGGCGAGACGCACGTCGTGCAAGAGGCCCATGGTGGTTGGTCCATAGCCATCAACCGTGAAACGGCCATTGCCGACATGCTAAACACCGGATGCATGCGTCGTGCACCATGAGAAGGCAAAGGGCGGGGGCACGAGGGCAAAGGGTGCGGGGACGGCTTGTCACGTACGCGCACACGGGACGGGGAGTGACCCGAGGCCTTGCATTCTTCTTCCACGGCGCGCAAGAGGCGTGCTAGCTCTGAAAGCGAGTGTAGATGGAGCATGAGCTACCACGATGCGTTGTGGCAGGGACAAGGAGCATGGTATGGCGACCTACCATCTTCATCCTGGGGCTTGCCCTCGGTGCGCTCCAAAGCGATAAGGGTCGGTGGCTCGACTGCCGTTTGAATGCGAGCAATTTCCATCAGGCAGTAGAGCACATTCTTGTCGTTTTTGTGCTATAATGCCACGCGCGACCCTGATTGTGAGTACACAAGAGTCGACCAGTGGAGCAGCCGGTGGCTTGCGAGCCAATCTAAATGGTTCTCTTATCCGAGCGATACCTGCACGAGGTCTTCAGGCTCAAAAATGACAGCGTCATCCACGCCAATGGATTGGCACCAAGTGATGAAGCAGGCCACATTGTCGCGCGCGAAGAAAGAGCCAGAAGTGGCCGACATGTTGCAGCTGTGATGACGGGACGAGAGCAAATGGATCACATGAGGCAGGAGCGGGCCAGGCAAGAATGCTGTTTGCCAAGTGTCATGGTTGAACACCAAATGGAAAAACAAACCGAATTTTGACCGGGTCATTGGAGACACGACGTGAATGACCGGAGGCAAAGCCACGGGTCTATGAACAAGGGTTTCCAATACTGTCAGGATACTGCAGTCATTGAGGCATCAGTGGCGGGGTGTTGAAGCGCAACATACGAGGCTGCCAGAGTCAGCTTGCAGCTTCATGGCAAGTCGGCACAGTAGCACACCCGTTTCTGCAGAACAAAGGTATGTGAGTCAAGCATAGATCGGCTCTGCAAATGGGGCACGGCACGAGAGGTCGCACCAAGCTCTTGCAGCAAGTTGGCTTCGGTCAACTGCGTGTTGAAGATGGAGTTGAGCCAGAGTGCCAGATCCACACGATAGGCACGGAGGCGATCGTACGTGACACGATTGCGCTAAGTCACACATCAAAAACAAAAAGAAAAAAAATCAATATAAAAGTTAGTTTCAGGGCGAGGCCGGGCCAACGGACGAGAGCTCATCTCCCACACAGAGGATAACGCAAACGAGGCTGCAACAAGCCGCGGACCTGGCCTGAAAAATAGTCCTCGAGATGAGGGTGATCCGAATCGTCGTAGATGACGCGCACAGAGCCCTGCACAAGCACCAAAAATGCAGACACACGGTCAGGGCCAGACCGTGCTGGCAGTGCCAGTGATGGCAACTTTGCCTGGTGGATTTGAAAGTGTATACAAAAAAGCTGCAGGGCTGTGTCGTTTGAACGTACGCGCTGCTCGGGTCCCCCAATGTAGCTAAACATGCTGCCACGAGAGGACTTGCGACGCTGGTCGTTGGGTACGACGGTAGATCGGCGCTCGTTGGCCAGATCCTGATCCCCACCACGGGATGATCGGCGCGGTTTGTACAGCTCGTCCTGGCTACGACGCCGAATGTCGTAGTAGCTTGGACGGAGCTCATCGTATGGGTCCTTGTTGTCGGATCTAACATGCAAAAGCATTGAGCAGCGAGAGAATGGCAAGCAGGACACCCCAAGGCAGGCTCTCAGTGATTGCGAGACATACCGGATAGTACGGGTCAAGGTCACATCGTTGGAGCTGGCGCCTGCAATATAGGCATCGGCGAGGGCCGTGGTACACAGTGAGATGCATGAGGCCATGCACGGGGCCATCTTTGAGCAGGAGAGGAAATCTGGCGAGCATGCTTGGTCAGGCTCCACAAGCCCTGCCTTCTCACCTGTGCGGGACGTGGAGAGGGACGTGTCCTGGTGCAGAACGGGATCGGAGCGGCGGCGTTGTGTAGCTACACATGTAAGCGAGCCATGAATGTTGGTGAGCGTGTGCTTGCCTTCATGCAAGAAGCAAGTTGAAGAATCGAAGAGCGTGGTCCGCGCGACAAACCATCATTGGAGGTGGAGGCACGCCGAGGCTCATAGAAGGAGGTACTGCGCGACATGGCGCTAATGCCAAGGCGTTATGAGCCCAGGAGTTGTGGCAACGGTCAGCCTCGTCTACCAATGCGACAAAGAATGGAGCAGAGGAGTGCGCATGTAGCCAACATGAGTTGATCAGCAGATCGATACACCATCTGCGCCATGTGCGTCTCGACGAGCAGACAACCAGGCCAGACAGACAAGAAACAAACGCCACCGGGGTGGGCCCTCTGAGACGATGAGCGAGGAAGCATCAGAAGTGACCAACGACGGGCGCAACGGTAAGGGGCGATAGGCATTGCTGGGGCAACGAGACAGATGGTTGATGCAGGCAAGCTGCGTGTACGACCCTTCAGCGCATCATGTGCTCGGTTCAAGCACGAAAGCCAACGCCGCCAACGGCTGTGCGAGCGAGGGGGTGCAGCGAAAAACACCACCAGTCGGAGAATGCAGGCCCCCTGTCTCTTTAAGCTCTTTGCAAGGAGGCTGGGATGGGTGACGCTGCGAACGGCGCTGCCACTGATCAAGACACCGGAGCACGCGAACGAGAGGCTTGTTCACATGCGCAAGCGCGCACTGACCTTAAGCAAAAAAAAAAAAATGAGAGAGAGAGAGAGAGAGAGGAAAGAGAGAAACAGAGAGTAGGTGGCAGAGGAAATCTCATGTAGAGATCCATGTGACACACGGGTTTTCAACAAGGGGTTTGCAAAGGTCTAATAAGAGAATACATCAGAAGGTCATATTGGAACAGAGACTTGTTCTTGTACGATTGTCACATTCAGAGAATCAAGTTGTGAATTTTTACTGAATTTTTCCATATTATTTTCTTGCGCCGGACCATCGCCGCTGGGATGTTATTGATCCCAAAGAGGTAACGCAAGGGCTGCGGGCGAAGAGGGCGGTTCAATTTTGATCTGGTCGCCCGTATCTCTGCACGAAAGAGGCTGCTGACGGCCTGTTTGGTACGTGCGCCAAACGCACCAAACTTTTGCTCTGGAGCTCAAAAATCGAGACATGACTCTCTCTGGTGAAGAGTCCTTGGATGTCATTCAGCTCCGCAGCCCAGACCCTGCCAAAACCGGAAAACACAAGAAAGAGAAAAAGGGAGAAGGAGAGTCGAAAAGAATGCTTTTTATTACTTGATTGGCAGAGGCACAGAGCAAGTAATGGTATCCTAAGATAGGGATCGATTGGACTTCAAGGAGATCATCGTCACACTTGCATGCCCGTTACGGCGTGTATGGATGGACACTGAAACAACATCAGAAGCGAAGAACACAGTCCCCAGCAAACAGAAGAGCGAGAGACGACGGGCACACGAAATGAAAAAAAAAAAAAAAAGAAAGAAAGTAGGAATAACATAGTGTGAACAGCAAGCAGGGTGGCGGGTGCTCTATCAGGTGGCATAAAAGGCTTGAGACTGTGTCCATGCTTGCAAAGCAACTTGGGGACCGTCTGTTTGAGGCCTTGCGCTCGCACAACATCAACATGCCCCCCAAAACAACGTTCAGAACAGAGGTAGGCCATAGCGACATCCGCAGCCTCATGAGGTACGACAAAAAGAGGCCAGCGGCCATGCACGTGACTATGCCGAGGCATCAGCTTGCAAGGCCGACAGCTTTTTGTTGTAGGTCACCACCCGCAGGTATTCGATGGTTTCGCCAGCCACCTCGACATCTGCACCAAGGGGGAGACAACAAGGTTGGAGTAAGCATGAACCGAAACTCCATCCATGGTGATAAAAGGCAAGCAACGCGGTGTCTCGGGCACCAACCAAGGCCCGTGGCACTGGCAACCTCGTCCACCAGCTCCATGGTGACACCAGAAGTGCCGTTCTCGTGCGAGTGGGGCAAGAGCCAGAGCTTGATGTTGAGATCACGAAGAGCGGCCTTGACGGCCGCAACAGCCCCCGAGGGCGGCGGGGAGGGTACAGGCAAGACTTGCGCGTCAGCCAGCAGGAAGCTGCCGTCATTGGCACCGGGGTTGCGGCGAGCCACTGCAGCGGCAGCGGCTGGCGAGAGGAGCAACGCAGGCGTGGAATCATTCAGGTCGTCTGGTTCTGCAAACTCCTGCCCTGCGCCAGCACCAAAGTCGTCGTCATCAAACAGCGCGCTGGCCTCGGGGTCATCCACTGTATTTGCAGAAGCCACAATGGGAGACAGCATGGGCTCAAAAGCCCTCTTCCTGTCCGGATCAGCCGAGCTGGCGATTGGCGTTGAGAAGAAATCAATCACGGCTGACTGCCCACGGGCCGGAGTGGCCACGTCCTCGCTTTCTGTTGGTGATTGGCCAAACGCAGCGAAGCTTTCATTGGCAGACGACGGTGGCCGGTCCATCTGCAGCGGGGCACGGATGATCCAGTCCAAGCAAGGGTCGGATGAGCGTAGCTGCACTCGCACGGAAAACCCAGGGGAGACAACGGGGAATTTGGCGCCAACGAGTCTCAAAAAGGCAGCGGTTCCTTACCACGGTGCTGGCGCGAGATCGACGATTGGTGTCAACGGGGGTGTGCATGGAGGCTGACATGCTTCGCATTTGGCGGGAGATGTCGGCCTCTGAGGCTGTGTCTGTGCTTGAGGCGCGATCCTTGATTGTCAAGCGGCTCCACTTGGACCTCTGCTCTGTGTCCGAGTCGTCATCTGAGCTATAAAACTGATCATCGTCTTTCTTCGAGCTGGCCGCCCTGTGCGCGAGCGCAGAGCAGACGATAAGATTAAAGAGTGCAAACAAGCAGGTAGAAAATTTTTTTTTGAAGACTTAGCAGAGAACACCCCTAGAAGCGAGAAAAGACGGCGGGCAACTCACTGCGAGTGTTGGGGAATGATGGTAAAGCCTTCTTCATCCACCTCGGAGTGCTAAAGAAAGAAATAAAAAAGAAAGAAAGAAAGAAAGAAGAGAGGTATTAGCGCTCACGAACGTTTGGGTGGCTTGGCGAGAGGTGCATCTCTCCTGTCCCAAGGCACCAGGGCAACAAAAAACAAACCGAACAAACAAACAAACAACCAAAAACCCAAAAACAAAAAAAACAAACAAAAAAAACTTGAAACTCACGTCGTGAGGAGGAAGGGGCTTGCTGGCCATGTCGGAGGCTTCGCGGTAGCTCTCTGTACCACCCAGCGCGCGCTCGTCGTCATTATCAGGGGCCTTGTCGTTTTGAGCTGATGTGCGGCGCTCAAACGCGTCGGTGCTGCGCCCATCTAACACGCGGATGGAGACCTCGCCCTGAGATTCCTCTGCCATGTTGATGGACACTTCGCGTCCATCACGATCTTCATCGGGTTGCGGGCTATGTGGAAAGCGGAAGGAGGCCAGGGGGGAGATGATGGAAGAACGTCGCGAGTCCTCGTATTGCTGCAGGGTTTCGGGTTGAGAATTGAACAAGGAATGGTGAGGCGGCGGGAAAGGTGACATGCATGGGCATGGACATGGGCACGGTGTGAACACGTTGCATTGCGCGACTCAAAGGCCGGCATGGGGCGGTCCTGTTGTGCACACCTGAATCATGTCGACGTTGGTGTCATGCAACATGCTGCGCTCGACATCAGACGGAGACACCGAGACATCGTGCTAAGCGAAAGATGGGCGACACGGGTGGTGAGACGTGATTTGAAGCGGCGGTAGAGAAGGCGTGGGTTAGCACCACACACCAAAGTCACTTCATAACGGCTGAGGTGGACGTTGTGGGATGCCTTGCTACCACCGCGTGGTTCATAGCTGCGGCGCTTTCGAACGCAAAGGAACAAAACTGCCGAGGCGGTGGAGGGTGAGGGTGAGATGCGGCGAGCATTCTTGCACGTTTCCAAAGACCGAAACGAATCTGGGCGGTCGCGCTTTGAAGGGGCGTGAGGTTGTATCGGACCTGTGGGAATGACGGCAAGAATGAGCGGGGCCACGTAGACGGCCCAGATCATGTTGCCGGTGGGTGGTGGGATGGATTGAGCGTTTGGTGCCAGAAAGGGGCGGGGCCAAGGTGATGATGCCAAGCACGCTCAATCAGGCTCGGGCTGATTGAGATGCCAGCGTGTGGGCCCAAACGAATGAGCGAGTGCAATGTGGCACCTTCAGGGCCGGCTCGAGCCGCCTCGAGGGCACAACTTGCTCAGTAGCCTCAGCAACCTGGACCACCGCGTCAGATCGTCAACGGCCCGGTACCCCCAAAGAAAAGCAAAAAAAAAATAAAAAAATCGGGAAATTAAAATGATAAGCGACGGCACCGCTTGGCGGCCATGGCCAAGTCCAAAAGCCCAGTCTGGTCTGCTATCGGCGGCGTCGACCCAAGTTGACGCGGAGTTAGTTGCAAGTCCAGGGAGAAGGAGGACTTTCCAAGAGGTCTCGAGGTCAAGGCGTCCTTCAGAGATCGACAAAGCCAGCCGCGTGCCGCGCAAACTCCGGAATGATTTTTCTTCCTGTGCGCCACGCCGAGCCGAGTAATGCGACAGGGCACTTTGATTCACCCCTGCCGTGCAAGACTGCCCACACTTGGCCTGCAGAGGTCCACACGCCAGTCACTGCACGCCAATTGAAGCGACAAGTC